GAGGTTGTTTTGCATTTATTAAAATGATGATGTGTTTTTTCTTCTTTAGTCTATTAATCCAGTGTATTACATTCATTGATTTTCAATGTAAAACCAACCTTTTGTTCCTGTGACAAACCAAACTTGGTCACAGGATATTTTTCCTTTTCATATACAGGAGGGAGCAAAAGTAGGTTAATAATGATAATACTTAATGCAACCAGTAGTAAGTAAATACTAATATGAGAATAAACTCTGTTTCATGTACTCACAACTGTAAACCTATTTTTGCTCACCTTTGTATTATGAGATACTTTTCACATTTTGTTAAGAATTTTTGCATCTATGTTCATGAGGGATATTAGTCTGCAATTTTCTTTTCTTGTGATGTCTTTATCTGGTTTGGGTATTACAATAATGGTGGCCTTATAGAATGAGTGTGGGAGCACGTCCTCTGCTTAAATTTTCTGGAAGAAGTCAAAGTTTATAAGCTGAAGTGTGTCTTCCAAAAATTAATCTGTTGACGCCCCAACCTCGAACGTGTACAGAGGTGATGAAGTTAAAATGAAACAATTAGTGTGAGCCATAGTCTAGTCTGATGGGGGTCTTTATAAGAATTGGAAATCAGGACCCACAAAGAGACCAGAAGTAGGTGCACACACAGTGGAAAGACCATGGAAGGACAGGGAAGGTGACTGTCTGCAAAACCAGGAGCGAGACCTCAAAATGAACCAAACCTGCCGACACCTGGACCTTGGACCTCAGCCTTCGGAACTGAGAGAAAACGAATGTTCAAGCCACCCGGCCTGTGGCATTTTGTCTGTGGCAGCCCGAGCTGTTCAATCCAGTTGGTGTTATTTCTTCCTTAGGTATTGGGTTGAATTCACCAGCGAAGTCATCTGGACCTCAAGTTTCTTTTATGAGAAGGTTTTAAACTACATAGTCCATTTCGTTAATAGATATAGGGCTATTTCCAGTTGAGTGAGTTTGTGTCTTTCAGGGACACTGACCGTTCCATCTCAGTTTTTGGTATTGCCTTACATTCATTTTTAATACAGAAAATTACAAGTGATAAAATAAAGCCAGTTATTCCACTGTCTAAAAACAACCATGACTAATGTTTGGCTGTATATCCTTCCAGATAATTTTTACATATGTGTACACCAATCCCCTTTTCTGTTTTTCCAAAACTGCTATGACCCTCGTCTCCAGGGTTTTGTTTGTTTGTTTGTGTTTTGTATCATCAAGTCTTTAAGAACATGATTATGAATGGATGATTAATGACTCGCTTAATAACCCCCTAACCTAAGTTGCTCCTGATTTGAGAGGTGCGTCGTATAAAACACCAGTTCATATATTTTTCATCTGTCTCTGGGAACAACTCAGGTTGGCATCTTGGTTTACAGTACCCGAAGTGGAATTACTGGGCTGACCAGTTTATTATTGACTTCTGCTATTGAGCACCCTGTGCTTGGTAGGGGGAGGCGGGAGAGGGAAGAGCCGATGCCCCCACCTCGGGGGCTTGCCCTCTGCAGACCAGCTCAACCAGAACAGCCAGTGGGAGTGTGAGGCGAGAACATGGCAACAGGGCTGTTTGGAAGCCCACAGGCGGCTACGGCCTCCTCGGCACAGATCTAAGTGTCTCTACCTTACCTACAGGTTGGAGGATCTTCCCTGTGTGGACTGTACCGGGTCTCCCTCCTTAGTTCTCCCTCCTTTGGCGTGCTGTGGTATCGTTTTGAGGCGAATGAAAAATTGAAGCAAAAACTGAACCAAACTTTGTGCAGACAAGTAAAGGCAGAGCCCAGCCTTCTCCTCCCACCGCGCTCAGTCCTAGGGAACTCCCGGTCTGACAGGCAGATCCTGTCCCCGAGAAACCCCCGGGCTTTGGAGGAAATGAAGTGCCTGTTCTCCAGATGCTCAGTCAGAGTGCAGTACCAAGATCCACACACCAAAACGTGCATAAGTGCCTACGAGAAAGGTGTGAGCTAGCGCGAATTCACACCTTGCCATGGAGGGGTGTGTGAGCAAGTGTGAATTTACACCTTCCCATGGAGGGGTGTGTGAGCAAGTGTGAATTTACACCTTCCCATGGAGGGGTGTGTGAACAAGTGCAAATTTACACCTTCCCATGGAGGGGTGTGTGAACAAGTGCAAATTTACACCTTCCCATGGAGGGGTGTGTGAGCAAGCACGAATTCACACCTTCCCATGGACAGGTGTGTGAGCAAGCACGAATTCACACCTTCCCATGGACAGGTGTGTGAGCAAGCACGAATTCACACCTTCCCATGGAGGGGTGTGTGAGCAAGCACGAATTCACACCTTCCCATGGAGGGGTGTGTGAGCAAGCACGAATCCACACCTTCCCATGGAGGGGTGTGTGAGCAAGCACGAATCCACACCTTCCCATGGAGGGGTGTGTGAGCAAGCACGAATCCACACCTTCCCATGGAGGGGTGTGTGAGCAAGCACGAATTCACACCTTCCCATGGAGGGGTGTGTGAGCAAGCACGAATTCACACCTTCCCATGGAGGGGTGTGTGAACAAGCACGAATTCACACCTTCCCATGGAGGGGTGTGTGAGCAAGCACGAATTCACACCTTCCCATGGAGGGGTGTGTGAGCAAGCACGAATTCACACCTTCCCATGGAGGGGTGTGTGAGCAAGCACGAATCCACACCTTCCCATGGAGGGGTGTGTGAGCAAGCACGAATCCACACCTTCCCATGGAGGGGTGTGTGAGCAAGCACGAATTCACACCTTCCCATGGAGAGGTGTGTGAGCAAGTGCAAATTCTCACCTTCCTGTGGAGGGGTGTGTGAGCAAGCACGAATTCACACCTTCCCATGGAGGGGTGTGGGATTGGATGCACTGGGGATTTCCTACAACTTCTGGGAAGGAGAAGGACCCGCATCCATGGAGAGGAAGTTGGGCAGAGGAGGGATGGGGGCGTGGCAGAGGGGGTGTGACCCGGGGGATGGGCTGGCCAGTTGGTGTGATAGAGTGCCCGGTAGGAAGGAAAACCCCAGGGGGTTTCTCCAGTTCTTTGTCAGCAACTTTGGGGACATTGGAGAGAAAGAAGGGACAAAGTGAAGCTGGGGGGTTACTTGGAGTCTTTATTTCCAAGAGTAGTCTTCCATCCACGCTGCTGCGTTCCCCATCCCAGTCCACCTCCAGACTGGAGGAGGAGCCTCGACTTGGCAATAGTCAGACCCTTCGCTGAGCACCTGCTCCAGGCCCAGGAGGCGTGACACCTGCCATCCGTCCAGTGATCCTCTCTCAGTGAGGCCCGGTGAGATCCAGTCCACAGCTGAGGACGCAGAGGCCAGGGAAGGGAACGAGCCTGCCAGGGTCTCGGAGCCAATTGTGGGGGTGCTGGGGTCAGAGCCCCATCGGTGGGACTGCCCCAGGCCCCTCTGCTTCTCTCCTGTTCATCTTTCCCGCACACATGCCACCCGCTAACAAGGGGCACATGGCACCCACTCCCAGGCCATTAAACCCTCAACCAGAAACATCTGAGTCCCCTGGGGCATCTGTGATGTCTGGAGACATTTTCGGTTGTCAGACTTGGTGGGAGGAGGCTCCCACTGCATCTGTCGTGGAGGTCAGAGGTCTGATCAGCCCGCATGCCAGGGGCCCCGCTGCAGGTCAGGCAGGCTCACCCTCCTGAGGCGAGGGGGGGGCTTCCTGCCAGACGCATGTGCTGGTGCCCCTCCCGCCTTCACCAGATGTGGGTGCCAACATGCCTGCAGACGTGGAGGGAAGCCTACAGACACACGCCTAGCCACACCGAGACCCTGGCAAAGATTCTCTCCTCCACCAAATTCCACTCAGGCTCCCTTGACCTCTTTCTCAACTAGGCCTTGACTTTTGGGCTCCTTGGTTCATCTCTGCATTGTCCGAATTTTAGGAAGAATCCTATTGAGTCAGTTCAGCCAGAATCCCCATCCTCCACATCTGGTCACCTCCAATGTCTATCTGATGGGGTTCCTCAGCCCCCCTTCCTTCCCCCCTTCCCCCCATGCTGTCTGATCACCTCCAATGTCTGATGGGTTCCTCAGCCCCCCTTCCCTCCATGCTGTCTGATCACCTCCAATGTCTATCTGATGGGGTTCCTCAGCCCCCCTTCCTTCCCCCCTTCCCCCCATGCTGTCTGATCACCTCCAATGTCTGTCTGATGGGGTTCCTCAGCCCCCCTTCCTTCCCCTCTTCTCCCCATGCTGTCTGATCACCTCCAATGTCTGTCTGATGGGGTTCCTCAGCCCCCCTTCCTTCCCCCCTTCCCCCCATGCTGTCTGATCACCTCCAATGTATGAGGGGTTCCTCAGCCCCTCTTCCTCCCCCCTTCCCTCCATGCTGTCTGATCACTTCCAATGTCTGATGGGGTTCCTCAGCCCCCCTCCCCCCCATGCTGTCTGGTCACCCTGGCCTGCCCTCAGCCAGAAACCTCCTAACCCCTGATATTTCCACTTAGTGTTTTCCATCCACTGACCTCCACCCTCCTCCTTGGCTATAAATCCTCACTTCTCCTTCTTGTATTTGGAGTTAAGTTCAATCTCTTCCCCAAGGTGACACCCCTTTGCAATGGTCCCTAAACCTATAGCAAAGCCTCCCTTGGAGTAAAGTCTGCCTCACTGTCCTTTATCAAGTGTCATTAATAATTTTAACATCCTTTTCAGATGGGAAGAGAGAGGACTTTGGACTAATTTTTTTTCGGGTGCAAGGGGAGGGGCCAACTCCAGGCCAGGTGCAGAAACCCCACCCTCTGTGGGCCAGAACACCCAGGGTGGGGACTTCGCCAGGTGGCTGTGGGCAAGGTGGCGGCAGTGATGGTAGGAGGGAGGAGGTGGAGCCTCCTTTGTCTAGGCCATGTGTCACGTCCTGCCCCGGGGCACTGCCCGGCACTACCCTGTCAGTGTAGGTGGCAGTGAGAAGCTGGGGCCTACTCCCCAGAGTTTTTGGAGCAGATCACAGACCTTTGGAGCCCTATGTTGCTGGCCCCCCAGAACCCAGAACATGGCAGATGGGGCGCAGGCCAACCCCAAAGGGTTCAGGAAGAAGGTGCTGGTTAGACACCCCTCTGGGTGGAGGGGCCCAAATCTCAGGGCCTCTTCTGCGAGGACCTCCAGGTACGTGCCTGCTCCCCTGGGATGGAGCCCTCCGTGGAGAGCAGGGTTGGAAGCGGGGAACTGGCTCCTTGAATCTGTCTCCCCAGGAAGGGGAGGTCTGGGTCTCTGAGTGACGGCTGAGAAGGTCAGTGCACGCTCAGCACTAGGAGGGCCTTACGGATCATCTGGTCAATCCTTGGGAGGCAGTTGAGTCCCAGAGAGGCTAAGAGGTCTATCCAAGGTCACACAGCATTTTAGAAGCAGAGCTGAGGCTAGAATCCAGGGACCCAGGTCTCCTGGCTCTGAGTGCAAGACTCGGGGCAGACTTTACTCCGGGGTGGGGGGGCATTGCAACAGGTTTAGGGACCCAGCCACCAGGGTGGGTCACGTGACTTCCAGGTGCAACTATGAAAGGAGGTTGGTTCTAATCTGTGACAGGGATCCAACCCCATGAGGCAATGAGCTTCCTTTCTTGGAAGCGGATTTCTGCTCTGGGAGGGAGGAGAGAGGCGCCTGGTGCCTCCCGGCTCTGCCATTCTGGGGGCTGTGCCTTCCGGAGGTGCAGGGCAGGTAGGAGGTGCTCAGGTCTTCCTGGAGGTGTTAATCACAGGGATGGGGCAGCAGGCACCAGGGCACCAATGTCGTCAGGGCCATCAAGGGACAGAACTGTGGGCAGCGGCAGTGATAATGAGGCCCAGGACGGAGCAGCAGGCCTGGACCTGCAGGAAGGACAAACGGCCCGACTCAGAACCTGGGTTCCTTCCTCTCGCAGATCCACCCTGGCTCTGAAGTGCTTCACCGTCGCCATCCTGGCCGGCAGCCGTGAGTAAAGGCTCTGGGAGATGCCCCCTTCTCCCCACCCCAGCTTTCTCTCTTGACCGTGGGCACCCCGCTCCTCCATCCACGGACCGGCAGCCAGACCTCGGGCCCGTGCTTCGCCTCTCTCGGCCTGCAGCTCGCTGCCCAGCCTGTCAGGCTTCGCCCTCTCTCTGGGGCTGTTTCTCCCTCTGCCACCTGTAAACACGCCACAGGCAGCTGGCATTTACAAGCCTCAAGAGGCAGGGCCCACAGCTGAGCAAGCATCGTAAAGTGGTGGCATTTGCTGGGCGTCCGGGCACCCCAGCGAACCCAGGCGTTTGTGTACCTAAGTGTGAGTGTGTGCGTGTGTACACATAGACAGAAGCTAATCGTTTGTTGTGAATATACACGTGTCTCTGTGTGTGTAGGTATGTCTGAAGGTACAGTGATGTCCCTGTGTATAGCACATGTCAATGGAATGTGTGAGCGTGCGTTAATTGAGTGCTGTGTGTCCAGAGGGTGTATATGAATGTAGAGGTACATGTGCCTCTGCGTGATGTGTATGGCGCTGTGGTGTCTATGTGAGTGTATAAAAAGGCGATGGAACAGGTCTGGAGACTTCTTACCCAGGGTGCGAACCCCGGGCGTGTGTATTGGGGACAGCTGAGGCCCTTGGCACAAAGTGACCCCCACACATGCAGCCGTTCCAGCAGAAGTTGCCTCAGGTCGATGGAAGATGGACTAAACCCTCGCTGGCCTTTTTTTAAGCCTCACCTGAGGATATTTTTTACATTTATCTTCAGACAGAGTGGGAGAAAGAGAGAAACATCGATGTGAGAGAGACACATCGAGTGGCTGCCACCCGCACGACCCCAATCGAGGCCGAGGACGAACCACAACCAAGGTCCGTGCCCTTGGCCAGAATCGAACCCGGGACTCTTTGGTCTGCAGGCTGACGCTCCAACCTCTGAGCCAAACCGGCCAGGGCCCTCACCGGCTTTCCATCAGCCTGTTACTTGTCTCCTGGAGGCAGCCAGAACCAAGGGAAAGAAATATCAGAAACTGACTCAGGCTAGATGTGGCTGGATATGAGACACTGTTGGTTGAATTCAGGCAGAGTGAGCTGTTATTTGGAAAATAACCACTTGAGTTCAGCCCAAGCCACTGGCCAGGGCAGAGCCTCCAGCCTGACTGAACACAGACGCTGTGTCTCCCACCCGGAGCGCCAGTGTGGACGTGGCCTCGCTTCCTGCCACGGATCCACTCTGGGTGCATTTGTGATGTGTGAGCATGCGGATGAGTGTGTGACAGCAGCTAGGAGAGTGTGTTGTCTGTGTGTGCGATGTGAGTGTACTAAGTATGCGTGTGTGTTTGCATGTGAGTGTGTGTACCAGTGTGCGGGGTGTGGAGGAGAGGGTGAGGTAGGTGTGTCAATGTCTGTGTGTGTCTCTATGTGTGTCCACCTTTTGTGTGGATAGGTTGAGTTTCTCACTCTTCTTCTCTCTCTCTCTTTTTTTTTTAATCCTTACCCGAGAACATTCTTGCATTTATCTTCAGATAGAGTGGGAGGAAGAGAAGGAGGAAGAGAGAGAGAAACATCAATGTGAGAGAGACACATTGAGTTATCGCCACTCACATGACCCTAACCGGGGCTGGGGACAAACTGCAACCAAGGCATGTGTCCCTAGCAGGAACCGAACCAGGGACTCTCGGGTCAGCAGGCCGACACTCTAACCACTGAGTCAAACTGGCCAGGGCTTCTTCTCTCTCTTTTAAAAAAAATATGCTTATTGATTTTTTAGAGAGAGAGGGAGAGAGAAAGATAAAGAGTGTGAGAAGGGAACATCAATCAGCTGCCTCTTGCCCACCCCCTACCAGGGATCAAGCCCACAACCCAGGCATGTGCCCTGATCAGGAATTGAACCAGCAACATTTTGGTGCACGGGACAGGGACAACGCCCAACCAACTGAGCCACACAGGCCAGGATGTATTCTCTTTTATGAGATTGAAAGCTGTCCCCGCAGGGGGGTGGGTAACACCTGCACAACTCCCTGATGGGTGGGGGTGGGAGGTGGGGGTTTCAGGCTGGGGAGCGAGAGGGCCAGGCCCTCGCACAGGACCTCAGGGCTCTGCACAGCGCACCCTGCAGGGGAATGCCATTATTGGCTGTCGTCAGATTTAGGAATTGAGGTCGAAGAGGTTACGTAACCTGCCCACGGTCCCACAGTGTGGATGGAGAAACCTGTTTGCAAACCCAGTCCGTCTGACTCCCTGGCTGCTTGCTACACACATCTTTCTCCAGCACCAAGACGCCAGCAGAGGTGGGGGTGGGGTGGGGGAAGAGCTACGGGTCCCAGGGACCCCTCCTGGCCCTTCAACGGTCATTGCTGCCAAACCAATCTGTGCAGCTCAGGAGACAGGCTCAGGCCCACAGGACACAGGGTCCTCTCTCTCCCTCTCTCAGGGCCCCGGTGTAGACACTGATATGGTTCTAAACCATTCTCTTAAAGTCACTTGTCATTTCTCCCTACTCCTCCCCTGTGTCCTCTCTTATCTGCTTTTTCTTCTCGGTAATGGCAGAATCACGGAGCCAGTAGACTGGGAGACTCAGGGGAGCAGGATTCCCAACATCAGCTCTCCGAGGGGGCGGGCAGGTCCGGCCCAGGGTCTAACAAGCCCTCGGTGTTGGTGGGCACCATGCTGGGAGTGAGCGTGTAGAGCATCCCAGCCCCGAACCAGACACTGCCCCCGGGGAATCCCAGGAATCACTATTATTGTTCCCATTTTACAGATGGGATGAACGGAGCTATGGGCCTGGGTCTGACTCCAGAGTGTGTGCTGTCCCACTAAGGCCCGCCGAGGTTGTGAGCTCCCCGTCACTAGCGAGGTGGGACAACCACGTCTCAAGTAATTTCGGCCTTTGGGATCCCTCCAGCCTGCTGCTTCTGAAACTCCTGGCTCCTCCCTCTCGTGGCTCATTTCCTTTCTGAGGCTGTGGAGCAGAGCGGGGAGCGTGGAGAGAGCAGGGGCAGGGCCCCGCTGGAGGGGCCCCGAGCTGGGGGCCGGCAGGAGCTGTCCTGCATGGTGGCGGCATCACAGCGCGGGGGCAGCAGACCTGGGTTCACGGCTGGGCTCTGCCACTGCCCGGCTCTGTGGCCTTCACTGCTCTGAGCCTGAGTTTGCTCCTCCCTAAAACGGAGATAGAGCAGCTCTCCTGCCCGTGTGTGTGTGTGTGTGTGTGTGTAGTCACTGAATGACCAGGTCTCCCAGTTGTCTCTGGGTTTATCCTGAAATGCACCAGCCCCAGGACTGTGGTTGGGACGCTGATTCCCCACTGGGGACAGAGAAACTAGGCTAAGCGGGGGCCCAGAATCACACCCCATGTTCAGAAGAGCACATACATGTGCGCGAAGCCCCTTATAGTTTCCCGGCAGCTGGGCCTTGGGTTCTCACTGGGTCTAAATTCTGTCTCCACCGCTTTGCACTGTGTTCTTGGGCAAGTTACTAAGTGCTCTGGGCCTCGGGGTCCTTATCTGTAGGATGGCACAGCCGCACCATGAGCACCTCACAGGGCTGCAGGCACGCGATGAGTTAGTGCACGGAGGGCCCTAGGACCGTGCCTGGCTCTGAGAAGTCCTCAGCATCATACTAACTGCTATTATGTTCTCAGGGCCACAGGGCTTAATGTAAGAACGGGGAATGCGCCCTGGCCGGCTTGGCTCAGCGGTTAGTGTCGGCCCGTGGAACAATAAGTTGCGGGTTCGATTTTGGCCAAGGGCACGTACCTTGGTTGCAATTTACCCCCGGCCCTGGTTGTGATCGTGTGGGAGGTAGCCACTCAATGTGTCCCTGTCACTTCGATGTTTCTCTCTCTCTCTCTCTCCCTCCCACTCTATCTGAACAAAAATGGAAAAATGTCCTCGGGTGAGGATAAAACAAAAGAACAGGAAATGCATGCTCTGCACATCGCTTCCTTTGTCCCGCTCTGCCCGCCGGCTGTGCCCCTGGCCCCAGGTGGGGGACCCCGGCCCACGGGCACCCTGCCCACAGCAGCCTCTGGTCCTCTTGCAGTCCTGCCTGCAGCGCACAGCAGCCTGTTCAACCTGAAGTCCATGGTGGAAGCCATCACAGGGAAAAATGCCATCCTGTCCTTCGTGGGCTACGGCTGCTACTGCGGGCTGGGGGGCCGTGGCCAGCCCATGGATGATGTAGACTGGTAGGTTCCAGAATGCCTGGGCTGCTGGCAGAACTGGGTCAGGGCGGAGGAGGGCAGACTGCTCTCCATTTCCAAGGTGGGAGAGGGCCCTTTCCCCAGAGGGTGACGACGAGCCTGACCTTTGACCCATGTTTTCTCCAACCATCGTGGGCTCTCTGTGGTCCATCTCCAAGCCTTGGGCCTGGAGGCCTGTGAACTCCCACTCTTGCCAGGAAGGAGCCCATGACCAGCAGTCACACAGCTCATGCCTGACAAAGGCAAGAGCTGTGACCCCTGACCCCACAGGCTGCAGGCTCTGGGGGATGGGGACCAAAGCCACGGCCTATCTTCAGCTCCTGTCTCCCCCAAAGCAGCCAGCACCAAGTCTGGTGTCGCTGGGAGCTTAATACGTGCACTCTGGCTAAGGGTTTTCCCTCCACCGGAGGGGAGAGAAACTGCCACACCACATCGGCTTCCTGCCCCGACTCAGCCCTTCAGACCTTCGTCCTTGCTGGCCACCACGCACAGCTAGGTGTGGCCGCCGCACGTGGTCAGTGTAGAACCCGCCCTCCCGCCCTGGCCACGCTGCTGGACCACCTGGCCCTTCCTGAAGCTGCAGCCGGGCCCCAGGGGGAAGCTAGAGCCCTGGGCACAGCACAAGGAGGCAGAATCGGGGACAAGAACCTGGGGCACCGGCTGGCTTTGCCCAGCTGTGTGACCTCAGGCAAGTAACTACCCCACTCTGGGCTTCAGTCTGAAGGTCTGGCCAGTGAGGAAATGGGACAGATGTCCAGGGTCTCTGCTGGTAGGAGGTGGGCCAAGCCGAGCCACGTGGGCCTGCTCTCCTCTACCCGCCCCTAGGTGCTGCCACGCCCATGACTGCTGCTACCAGAAGCTCTTTGACCAGGGCTGCCACACCTACGTGGACCACTACGAATACTCCATCGAGAAGAACAAGACGATTGTCTGCAGTGAGTCCTCCCCGACACCTGCCCGCAGCCAGCTGGGCCCTGCAGGCTAGCCAGATAGAACCCAGGGCGCCCGGTTCAATTCGAGTTTCCGATAAACGACCACAAACGTTGATACATAAGTACATCCTGAATATTTCGGGGGATACGCTTACGCTAAAAATGAAACGTTAGCATGGAATCCATTAGCGTCAGCATAGAATTCAGCGTTAGCGTGAGTGTGTCCCACGCAGGATTTGGGACACCCTGATACTAACAGTATCTGTTTGTCTGAAATTCAGACTCGCCAGGCCTCTTGTTCTGTCAGTTCAGTCAAACAACCCTGGCGGTGGCCCTGGGCGTCTCCCTGGGGTGTTCTGACCCGCGAGCCTGAATCGGCCGTTTCCCTAGAGCTGGGGAGCCTCACGCTTGGAGGCTGAGGGGATGATTCTGACTCTGGGTCTGGGTGGGGCCCAGGAATCTCTGCTTTGAACCAGATCCTTAGGTGATTGTGAGACTCTGTGACACACTGGCCTGGGAGTCTGGGACACGGGCTTGAATCCAGGTTCTGCCAGCACCTCCTTGCCATGTGCCCTGGGCAGGGCCCTTCCCTACCCGGCTCCAGTCTCCCTGGGTACATGAAGGGTTTGGATCGGAGCAGACCGGTTCCCTTCTAGCTCTGTCACTGGGACCCCACCAGAAGGTGGCCCCACCCCAGGACGCTTAGTCTTTCAGAATTCAAGCTGTTGGAGCCAGACCTGGTGGGGTTTCCTCCTTTACTGGGGACTCTCCAGGGTCTTTCCCCAACGGAGGGGTGCAGCACCCAAGCCAGTGGCCCAGGGGTCCCTGCCCTGCCTCCCTTGGTGCCCTCCTTGGGGGCAGCCCGGCCCCTTTGCCTCCTCTTTCAGCTGGGCTTGCTCCTTGTCCCTCCCTAACAGCTCACCAGCACCCCCCGCTTTGCAAAGAAACCAAGTCTCCTTTCTCTGGGAAAGAGCCGGGGGGGACACATCTGGAGCCCTTGGAGCTCAGGGCTCTGTGGTCCTCTTATTCTGCTGGTGAAATGTGGAGTGGCGGGGGGGCTGGCTTGAGAGAGGGGATGTCTCTCCATTAAAACCCCAAGCAGTGGCTTTCCTGGGGGATTCTGGGGATCCCTGGGGACAGAGGGGACAGCGGCTGTGAGGGGTGCTGGTGGGGCGAGGCCCCTGAGTAGTCGGCTGGCTCTTTAATGCATGTTATGGCTTAAGAGGCTTCTCTTTCCGCTGTTTGATGTATTAGCTTTCTGCAAAAAGTTTCACTTACAAGAAAGGATTGTGCTGATAGAAAGGTTGAAATATTTGCAAACCATTGGCTAGTGCGTGGATCTCAGAGGGTGTTCCCCGACCCTCGGCATCAGCATCACCTAGGCACCTGTTGGAAATGCAGGTTATCAGGCCCCGCCCTGACCTACTGAATCCAGGCTTGAAGCCGCGGGCGGGGCGGGGCGGGGCGGGGCGGGGCGGGGCGGCCTGTTGGAACAAGTCCGCAGCTGGTTCTAACGCACACCTAAGGCTGGGACTATCGGGGTGAAGGATTTCTGGAGGCTAATATTAATAACACAGCGACAACAGCAGCAGTTACCATGTATTAAACATTTGCTCCGTGGGAGGAAGTGTTTTCCTCCCTGGATGCTCGGCACGAACTCCCTCCAGCGTGGGTGTGCGGCAGTTCTGTGATGGAAGACAGTCCTTGTCCCAGCTCTGCCTTGGGTTTGCTGGGTGACATCGGTAAGCAGGTCGCCCTTCTGGGCCTGTTTCCCAACGATGCCACCATAGCCGGACTCTGGTTCTCTGAGTTTGGCACGAACCAGAGCCGCCGGGAGCTTTCGCACGGGCTGCCGGCCAGCCGGGAGCTGCAGGCCTCGGGTGGGCCCGCCGGTGGTGCTGGTCCAACTGGCCCTGGGACCACTGGCGCCTCAGAGTGCTCGCTCTCCCCTCCCCACAGGAGATTTCAACCAGACGGACTGCGACAGGCAGACCTGCGAGTGTGACAAGGGCGTGGCGCTCTGCTTCCAGAAGCAGATGTACAACGAGAAGTATCGCAACTTCCTGAACATCTACTGCCAGGGCGCCACCCCCAACTGCAGCATCTACGAGCAGCCCAGGGAGGGGGCCTGCAGCCCCACCGCCTCGACACCCCCTGCGTTGTCCTAGTGCCCCTGGGATCTGACAGAGAGGAGGGGAGGCTCTGGGGACCAGAAGCCTGGAGCAGCGGAGGTGGAGGCCGACCCGGAGCCCACAGGCCCCCTGCCACCTTCTCCCTGCAGCCCTCCAACAAGGCTGGTCCCCAGAGGACTCAGGAGGGCCTGGGCCCTGACTGTGGCTTCCTGGCCCCCAGCCCAGCACCGAGTGTCTGTGTCCTCCAGAGGGTCCTGGACTTGGCAGGGAACATGTGGTTCGCTGGGGTCCCTCCTTAGTGTAGAAGACAGGGCCTGAGAGAGACGCCCCTGCCCCCCAGTCCCTAACAAACCCAGGAGAAGGCGGGGCCCAGCCCTCAGCCTCTCCCCCTGCGCCTCCCCTCAAGCAGCAGCCAGGCTGGTGGGTGGAAGGACCTTAGACCCGGGCAAGGAAGGGCTGAGGGCTGGGACCCAGCTGGGTGAAAAGGGAAACAGAGGTCCAGGCAGGACGCTGAGCAGAAGGTTCCGGAAGGCAGGAGGGAGGGAGCAGCCTGGGGCGGAGGACAGTGTGGGGAGAATGTGGAAGTGGAGGCCGGGTGCAGGTCAGATGTCTTGACTGGAGGTGTGGAGCTGGGTGGTGTACGTGACTCTCTGAACGTGCGGGAGGAGTGAGGGTCACAGTTTTTAGGAAGGAGGGGCTCCTTGCTTCTGCAATCTGGAGGTTCTCTGCTCCCTTAGGGCTCCTTCCGAGTCACTGAGCCTTTTACGCGAAGGCGTGAGGAAGGGGCTGACCTTGCCCTCATTGGTCTGGGAGCTGCCATGGACAGAGATGCTCTCCTTGCCAACGTTAGTCTGGCTCCCCGAGACCTCTCTGCACCAGGTCCATCTCTGCACCACCCAGTTTTAGCAAGAGTCCTGCATGTCATTGTCATGAGAGTCCCCACCCACCATCAATATCTGACCAGGTGCCACCTCCTCCACCATCCCCAGGTGATGTCTGCTCACCCTGGCCTGCCTTCAGCAAGAACCCCATTAGGTCAGTTTAGCAAGAATTACCTCATCCTCTTGGCCAGTTTCCATCCACCAACCCACCTCTCTGCTCCTTGGCTGTAACTCCCCACTTAGGAAAAACGAGGGTTGGTAATTGTCATAGTAAGAACTGAGCCCAGTTCTATACTGGTCCCTGTTGCAATTGTCTTGAATAAAATCTGTTTCTACCACGTAACCTGCTGTCCAGCATCTGGTTTTCTATCGGTTGTGGTGCCGTGACTCGGATGAAATCTCATTCATCACTGGACCCCGGACCTCTCACCCAGGACCCCAAATGTGCACCTCGGAAGCCTTTGTCTGCTGGCTCGGGGTCCGCTGGTGAGTCCGACTCCCCAGCCAGGGCCGTGGACGAATGTTTGGCTTTGATTCCTGAGGTTCTGAGACTCCTCTCTGAAGCTGGTTAGAGTTCCAGGTGCTTTGTCAGAAATTACCTCCTGGGCTGGAAGTCATTCTTCCTGACTCTTCCTTTTGAGCAGAGATTCATTCCCTGACTCTCTAGGTTGAAAAAAAATTTTTTTTCTTGCTTTTTGGAAAGCTTCTCTGTGTTCTCTATTTGATCCTGCTCCCCCCAAAGGAACTTCCCAGACAACGGAAACCCCACGTCTTGAACCCCTGCTGGAATTCGGAACTCCACTGGCTTCTTTGGGAAACTTGAGATCTCTGCAGACTGGCTCCTCTGAGACCCCTCCCTTCCACCTCGGGTCTGCCCTTTGGCTCTGTGCATCTGTTGGTAGGACCCCCCTTTCAAATCCCTACCTCCGCATCCTCTGTCCACCCTGCCGGCCCTTTTCCTTGCCCACTCCAGGCCCTGCACTCCTGGGTCACCTCTGCAACCCCCTAGCCTGCTCAGAGGCTCCCACGGGACTCAGGGTCCCCGGAAAGCAGCTACCTGAAGCTGAAGAGGAAAAAGGCTCATCGGAAACAGACCGGGTCATTTGTTTGGTCAGATGGGCTCTGAGGACATCCAGGGGACTGCATGGTACCCCTCAGTCTCTTGCCTGCAGTGTCGCCCACAGTCTTCACAAGATTACACATCGGGACGCCTGGAAGTCTTAGAGGTCCTTTCCACAAATATTGGTACAAAGAATCAGCCCCTCGTGTTGAATAAGTCACCTCAATTTGTTTCATCTGCCAAAACCATAATTGGGATAAAAAATATAAAATGGAGCAAAGATGAGATCTATTTTATATAAACTCGTGACTGTGTATCACTATGCTTTACTTATTCGTGGCTAACATTTTAGAATGAAACCTATTAAGATCTCCGTTTGCATCGCCAATACGTGTATGTACGTACGTAATGTTTTTCTGCTCGAGATGGTATCACCAAATTCACTTATAAAGCCTCTAAAAGGACTTCCTCTTAGAATGGCTTAGAGATAAACAAGCACTTACATTCAGTATTCCTGAAACATCCAGAAATATAGAAACTAACCCCCAATTATAAAGCCCATGTTCAAAAATTTGAGCAAATCTTTGATAAATAAGACCAACTTATTATAACCAGTTTAACAAAAGCAGCTATGTGTTCGGAGTTATAAACAGTAAAGTATAATATAAGCACACACTCCATTTTACTCAGGTTTACTAGTTCAACAGAGTATCGTCATAACTCCTAGATGTCTACAATGATAGAAATGATAAAGTCAATGTAAGAACATATACACAAGTAAAAATGCAACAAAACTGAATTATTTGATGTCCACTACTTCATACAGATCAAGCACAGAAGAAAACCAGGAAACCCATGTCCTTAATTTTGTTTCAGGTTTTTGCTTTATGGTGGTTACCTAATGTATATGGGCTGTAAAAAACGTGAGCGGGGCCCTGGCCAGTTTGGCTCAGCAGTTAGAGCGTCGGCCTGCGGTCCAGAGAGGCCCAGGTTCGGTTCCCACTAAGGGCATGTACCTCGGTTGCTGTTTGTCCCCGGCCCTGGTTGGGTTGTGCAGGTAGCAGCCACTCGATGTGTCCCTTTCACGTCGATGTTTCTCTCTCTCTCTCTCTCTCTCTCTCTCTCTCTCTCTCTCTCTCTTTCTCCCCCTCCCACTCTATCTGAACAAAATATGGAAAAATGTCCTCGGGTGAGGATAAATAAATAAATTAATTAAAGTGAGCAGGGAATACCCTGAGATGAGGCTAGCCTTGTTTAGTGTTATAAGATGTCCGCCTAAACAGTTTACAAATCTTTTTAGTAACTTACAACCTTAGACGTATGCTAAATGAAATTGAGTGATCGATATACATTAAATAGCTAGATCATTTATTTCTAAGTAAGATAAACTACTGAAACATTAATTACTAAGCTCAAGTTTTAGCTTATATACTTTTGGCTTCTTTTTATATGGGGTAGAGAAATGTATTTTGGTCTCTTAATGAACACAAACTTAAACTAGAGGAAATTGTGAGATGGTTATCTATAAAACTTGCTGATTTACTATAGAATGTTGTTATATGGCAGCCAGTTAACAATCGTCTACTTCCTTGTTTCCATGGGAAATTCAGGTGACTAAAGGTTAAGAATTCTAATTAATACATGTAAACAAAACTACTAAGAATAATAAGGATGAGGAAAAAAATTTTGCAAAATATGCAAGAATGTAGGATGCATTGTTTTCTTTTTTGGGTACGTGCCCCTAGCGGGACCCGAACCCAGGACTCTCTGGTCTGCAGGCCAATGCTCCGACCACTGAGCCAAACCGGCCAGAGCAAATACATTTTTTTTTAAAGAGTAATTTTGTTTTAAAGTAGTTGTTTAGAGGGTGTTTAAAAATTGTTACAAAATGAGGAAGAGCCCTGCCGGTGTGGCTCAGTGGTTGAGCGTTGACCCCTGCACCAAGAGGCCGCCAGTTCAATTCCCCGTCAGGGCACATGCCCAGGTTGTGGGCCTGATCCCCAGAGGGGGGCTTGCAGGAGGTGGCCAATCGATGTTCTCTCTCATCGATGTTTCTATCTCTCTCTCCCTCTCACTTCCTCTCTCTCTAAAATCAATAAAGGGGAAAAAAGTTTTTTTTTTAAATGAGAAAGAGAAAAATATAGGACAAAATTATTTTTGAGTGGATGTAGCAACTTGTAAAGGGTTTGTGGGAAAGGAATTTTACCAGCAGCCAAGCTGCCTACGATAGAGCTGATTTATTTATAAAGTTTTAAAAAATCAGCCCAACAGCATATCAATGCAAAAGTAGAATTTGATTTTCTCTGTTGAAACAGCCAAGTTTTCTTGGATTATTGGTCTGCTCTTTACAAGAGATTGTAAAAGATTTTCTTTACCTTTTTAGTAAACTGCCCAGGAAACACAGATTTTGCATTTTATTGGAATAATTACCTGTGCTCATATTAAGGGCACCATCAATTTTTTTAAGAGAGACCAGAGGTCTCACTTTTAAAAGAGCTAAGGATTTTGTTTTTGTTTTTGTTTTTACACTTTTGACAATTTTGCTTTTCCAAAACCAAATCCAAAATGAAATCTTGACCTCAAATGGGCCCTTTCAGAGGGCCCTGGAAAATCTCAAAGGATTTGTTCTTCCACCTTGTGAAAAGAGAGATGCTAAAAATAATTTGGTTTATTTGACATGTTAAATTGCATGACAGGCATCAAATAAAAGGAGATGATTTAACGTTTTCTAAGTTATATTTGTATGGCTAAATATTTTAAATTATTATAAATATTTCTTTTAAATCTGAAGTACAGCCCTGGCCGGGTGTCTGTTGGTTGAGCAGTGTCCCCAGCACCAAAAGGTTGCAGGCTCAATCCCCAGTCAGGGTGTGTACAGGAGGGAACTGATATATGTTTCTCTCTCACAAAGTTGTTTCTCTCTCTCTTTCAAAAAAATTAATAAACATGCCCTGGCAGGTTTGGCTCAGCGGTTAGAGTGTCGGCCCGCGGACCAATGAGTTGGGGGATCAATTCCGACCAAGGGCATGTACCTCAGATGCGGTTTGTCCTTGGCCCTGGTCAGGGTTGTGTGGGAGACAACCAGTCGATGTGTC